AGAAGAGTGTTTCAAAGACAAAGATAGAAAAGGTAGAAAAAAGGTGATGTTAGTACTGTGGAAGTAGTCAAATATGACCTACGGTGGGGTCATGATAGTTTGAGTCAGATGTCAACTGCCGGTTAATAGACTTTTTGCCGTATGAGAATGCGTTGCCCAGGGAGCGCCACGTGGAGGTAAGTCTATCGCACATCCAAAAGTAAATATTTCCAACGAACTAGTGAAGTTATTTAAATTACTTCATCACCAATTCAATGATTCAATAGCCATTCATGAAAATTTTTAGCTCGTTTAAGTAAACATTAATCTTAAATTATCTGGTAATCCAAACCGTTGAAGACTTAATCGAATTTTCGCTATACTATCTAGCGCAGCTGTGAAAATTTGTCGTAAGTTTAGGAAACATCATACTATATAAATTCATGGGTATTTCAGAGTTGCATGTTGATGCATTCACAATAAGTAACTGTCAATGCTTTATTCTTATTTTTATAAAGAAATCATTAAAAGTATAGATTATATTTGGGTACCGTCTCTACTATATAAGTCATTAATTATTCACAGTTTCCTACCTTCCTTGCGTTCATCATGATTTCGGCATCGAAATAAATTCTTTGAATAGATTTTTAAATTAAAACGAGACTATTAATGCTAAAATAATATTAATTTCAAATAGCTTAAAATTTATTGCATATTGTAATAATGGCGGTTAAACCAAAGTAGAGCTTTTAATGGATCGCATTACGACGTGCTTGTTGGTGTCCGTCGTCATTTTTGGGATACTTACAATTAGAGATATGACGGCCGGGGAAAATCAAGAAGAAACCAAGAAAGAATTTCCTGAACTAAAAAATGCGCATGCAGTTCTGCCTACTTTGAAGTTCCGATTTTGGTATGATATTTGTATTCCTATTGATTTCTCAAATTAGTGGTTCCTGAGGGTATCGCCGAGCTTACGAGGAGTTGGCTCACATCGTTATCCAACGATATCCTACCATAAATATCGACGGTTCGACGTATCCTCCTCCTCAGTGGCGTCATTTTGTCGCTCAACTTGTCACTTTCATTAAATTTGTAATCCTAGCTCTGATTATTGCGGGCATTAATCCCTTTCCATTCTTTGGTTTTGAGACTCCTAATTTCGTAACTTATGCAAATGAAAACAAAGTAAGTCTCCATATAATAATAGAGTTTTTATTCCTCTTTTGTCTCTGGTTTCCATATCTCATGCAGGTTTCCGTCTGTCTTTTGTGTTTTTTTGTGTGCGGCCTTATTGAAAGTCAGCTTCTCTCAACGGGTGCTTTTGAAGTAACATTTAATGGTATGTTTTCAAATTGCTTTTGTAACCGTATTGTGGTGCAATTTTTTGAGGACGTTAGGGCGTGCCACTTAAATATGGATTGCATAAACTAATCATAGCTAATATCTAAAATTTGATTCTGGAAAGCTTCTGAGTTGTTTTTGCTTAGGTAGATTTGCATCCACTCAAATGCTAATGGTGTTTTAAATGTTTCCTCAAATCTGATCCTAAAATGGGTATTAACTTTAAATAGATAAATTATATATATTTATATATGCTCAATGTATTCTTTTATTTGCTTATATCCTTCCATCGTTATTTGTTCTACCAGGTTATCATATTACATATTCCAATTTTTTTCTTAGACATCCCAATCTGGTCGAAGCTGCAGTCCAACAGATTTCCAAGTCCACAAGAACTGCTTTCGATGGTTGGTTCCCATATGGAGTTCCAAGCGCCGGGCTCGGCCTCACTTGGGATGTCTTTCATTCCCAATAACCACCCCCAACCGAAGACTTAGCCGTGCTTTCTCCCTTCGCGTGTTCTATCTTTTTTTCATTATCATCACTAAGTGTCCATGGATGTGTTTTGTGTGATGGAATATGAGAATCCCATGACGCCAATGGAGTAAAATCGCAGTTTTTCTCTGCGGAGCTCTATTTTGGCCGATGCTCTCTCTTTCCATCACCTCTCACCTTTCTTACCTGTTTTTCTTCCATACACCTTTTTATGATGGCTGTTATTCTGCTATTAAAATGACTTATTCTATTTTAACGCCGGATTAGAGTTAATCTATTCTTGTCAAGCTTTTGTGACCAGCCTGCTTTGCTGTCACATTTGCTTGTCAAATTCGGGATCTATAGGTAGAAACATACAATATTAACTGATGCTTGTTTTATTGATAGAATATGGGTGTGTTCCTCGGAGTGTTTTTCCATTAAGCACATCTTTGTACATTCTCGTTTTCTTGAATGGCAGCATGTGTTCACTTTTCAGAGCAAACTGAGCTGTATACCGTGTCCCATCTCGAAATGTCACCTCTTGCGTTTTCTTTTCGTGACGAGATTTCATCCTACTGGGTTTTCATTTTATTCTCTATTGTAAGGCTAACTCGGGTTAAGAATAATGGTTAATACCATATTCTATCGTAAGTTCTTTGACGTGTGTTTAACAACATGTATGCAGTAATGTTCCCGCACACTGGGATGACATAAAAATGCAATGTACTGGCTGAAAATAGACTGCAAATTGAGCTGGTTATTTTGGTTATGAAATTATCATACTGTGAGGTCTAGAGATGGAATTAAGATCTGTCTAGCTCTATTATTAGTGCGACAGTTCGTTGGCCGTTGAGATTGTTTTAAAAGCAGAACTCCTTTTGTTGAGGAACCACTGCTCGTAAGGTAATGTCAAGTGATGAGCTGGTTTCAGGAATAATATGGCGAAAGCGCCAAGTAATTTGGCAAATATGGCACTTATTTTGCTGATTGAAGGATCATCAGTGATCATTCCAATAAAATCTAATTCGTAAGAGAGTAGGATATCGATTGCCTATATTGGGATTGTAAGAGCATTGACAGCGCAGTGGCAAGTTCGAATAGTTTTCCCATATTAATTACAGATCAAATGCTACTTGATAAGCAATATGGACTTATTTACAAATAAGACTTGATAAAAATCTCAAAATTTTTTGTCGGAAAGTAGAGAAACAAATCACACGGGAAGAAAGAGATGAAAAAACAGTCAACGGGCAGAACACAGTTACGTAAGGCTGAGAAATGTCCCAATTTTCAAAAGTACTTCCTTCATTGTTCCTATCTTTTGATTTCTTTCCAGAAGGGCTTTACCAATAAGAACTATCTCCAACCAGGCATGTTCAGATGCCCGCATTTCGCTCAACACGATTCGAAGGAAGGCGTCATAGCGTGGATTTACAGTTACCTCCAGAATGGCCTCCAAAATAGAGGATTTGAGATTATCCATCTTCAAAACATCGCCTCTGCTGACAAATCGCCGACTTGAGATAGGATCCAACCTAACTCTCTCGGGAAGATCAGACAAAAAATTATCATAAGGAGAAAAAGCTAAAAGCCTAGCACTTTGAACTACTTCAATTAAGTTAGGATCATCCGTCTTAAGACTTCCAAGTGCCTTAAGATAAGATTCATTGGGGTTTCGTGCCATATGGATACGAGATATCAATTGTCTTGGGAATTTATGGAGGAGTTGGTGCTGAGTGAAGCATTTTAACCAACTTTGCCACACCTTCACTTCATTATCACTGGAGTGCTTGGGTAGATAGAGCACAGATAATTCAATGGCAACAGCGACGGCCTGAACTAGACTTGCATTTTTTAAGCCTTCTTCGCCCAATAAGCTCATGATTGGATCAGCAAGTGGTTGAGTACCCCTAAGATAGATGAGTAGCCTCTCAATTGGATTTTCTATTGAATTTAATGGCAAGCCGAAGTGAGATAAGACATAAGTAAATGCATCGTGAGTAAGAATTCGCCGATGTTCAACAGAAGGATTGATGTTCAGGATTACAGTTCCGAAAATCTGCCGGAGTGAAGACAGAGAGAGAAGGTAGGATATAACTAGATCATGTTGATTAACTGACTTACTCCTGACAAAGTTCACAATAATATCATCAGATTTCTCCAAGTCGATTCGAGATGAGGCATCCAAGTAGACCCAATCTAGTACAGTCACACTAAGGAAATCATTTAAAGCATTAGATAAGGCTGTCAGAATAACCTAAAAGCGAAAACAAATAAGATTCAACAGATGGCCAAATGTACGGAGAAAACTCTAGGTAGGAGGACTCACTTCATCGAAATCTTCACTCAATAGGCCAGCAATACGCTCAATGAAGGCAATGAAAGAGGAAAGAATAATGCTAAACGGTTTTGTAGAGTCCTCGACAGCTGACTTTGAAGTGAATTCACGGGTAGCTTGGAGGAACAATATGGGAACGGATTCTATGTCATCGAAACGATGCAGGATAACATTTTTAAGGAGGGATTCACTAAGTAACAAACTTTCTTTAGATGGCTCCTGAATCCAATCTAAACGTTTCTGGAGGTCTGACCTCAAACGGTTCAGTGTGTTCAGTGCCTCCTTATCAGTCGTTCTAAAAGAGCAATATTGTACATTTAGCTCAAACACCTCGTTATCACTAATATGCTACCGGCAAAACCCAAAATATTCCATATCTTTTCGACATCAAAGCACCTGATTTAGTGATCCCAACATATTTTTATTACCACGTGTTAAAATATTTCAATCTCCAAGCTTTTATATCTCCAATATCCCATATAATAATACAATTGAACACCAATTTTTTTCGATACATACTAACTTTGGCAAGAATTAATGAGGCTATTTTTAAACAATAAGAACAGCATAAGAATGCCTAAAACAGACAGAAAGTTAATCACGGCTTGAACAGGTAAATCCTGAGCCCGAAGTCAATAGGTTCTTGAAGACTCTCTAGTGGGTCTTGAATGTATTCTTACTCGCCAATGCAAATGTTTATAGCACCTACTATCACAGATATTGAGATTTAAACCTTACACAATAGCTACATTCTTTTCGATCGTATTATTAACAACAGATAGTTTCTTAGGACTTGAAGAGAATCAATAAAGAAGACACACCACGTACCTAGATCTTAAGACTTCGATGGCTGAAGTAACCACTTCCATTGAACCCGCAAGATCAAGAGAACGCGTAAAAGCCTTCTGCCCAAACAGATTTTCCAATATCCAACTGACAAGTAAAGACGCATCACCGTTATCCTCAACCATTGAGTCTAGAAATTCGGTGCAGTCTCTAACAGGAAAATCCAACTTCTCCAAAAGACTAGATGCATAAGTAGCAAAGATTTTAGCTTTACTAATGTCCTTGGGTGAAAACTCGTAGTGTTGCATTAAGGCAACGACACCTTCAACTGTTGATTTGTTAATCAAAAGGGGTCTAACACGGGCTATGACATCTTCAGGAGATGATTCATGTAGAGCTGAGAGAATAGCAAAGTAAACCGACGAATCCAAATACATTACAGTTCGCATCAAATTGAGATGAGTTAATAGGCTATCACCACGAAGTGTCCACCCCATATCAGTGTCATTCAAAATCACAAAAAAGACCTTCAAAAGTGGGTAAATTCTACAGAGTGGGATCTCATCAATACGAGGATCAATGATCTCATATAAGTAAGTAGTCAGTTCCTCAACTGATAAATCTCGCTTCAGATAAGGGGATATCTCCTTTAATTGGCGTCTGATTTCTTCAGATTCAATGCTGGGATCGGAAAACACAATGGCGGAAAGGTTAGAAAGTATAAGTTGTGATCTCGACTCCTGCATGTGTCTGGCAAGGAGAAGGGATACCTCATGACTTGTTCGTGAAATTGACATCAATTCATTACGACGATAATCGGAATCATGGAAGAATTTATCCGGGTTGCTGACCAATAGGGACACAAGTGCCTTCGAGCGCCATTGAGCAATACGAGGATGTTTGTCAGCAAGACGTGAAAGAGACCGTAAGAGGATTTTAGAAGAAGGAAAAAGAGCATTCGAGTTCGTAGGGGGAGTAATGCCCGACACACTCGCAACAACAATTCGAAAATTTTCCATTTCGTTACAATCATTTTCACTTGTGCGAATACGATCCGAGATACGCGTACAGAGGAGTTTAGTCCAGTAACGAGGTTTAAGCCCGAGAGGCGGTCCATAAGCATACGAAAGAGCTATGTCAAGAGCATGGGCATCGAGGCATCCATTTATCCACATCTCGTGAATGCCAGCTGTATCGAGATTTTCAGTAGATTTCGTATTCGCGAAGAAAGAGGATGACGATCGAGATATAGAATAATTTTCAAGCTCAATAGGGTCAAGAGGAGATATATAAAAATGGCAAGGTAAGTACGGTTTGCCGTTTTTAATTATAGGATAATCTTGAGAAGAGGAAGAATTAGATGACAGTACAGAGAATATTCGTCCCGTAGCTCTGGAAGAACTCCCTGGCCCTTCACTAGGCTTTTGTGAGGCGCAGGTCTCGATAAAATCAGAAGTGATATCAGAATACTCAACACAACTAGCCTCAAAGACAGAATGCGTAATAACGAACCGTGCCAAAGTTAAGCGAAATCGTTCAAGCACTGCTCCCTTCAGATTTGGAAAAAGACAACTCAGAATTTCACCTGGCGCTCTGCTCCATAATCTCAATTCACGCCAGGCTGAAGGTTCAGGAGTTGATAAGATTGTTAACATCAAGGTAACAGTCTTTTCTGTAGCAGCAATGGGAAGTGTTTTACTTGACGCGGCCTGTATTGCTGCTCTGAGAAAACATCGGTTGACCTCCACTTCATTAAGGTCAAAATACCTTCCAGCTTGCTTTAAGTCCACCTCAGTCAAGTAGGTAAGATAGAGAAGTTCCTGTAGTGCTGAAGTGAAAAGTTCGGCCTTTCTTTTTTGCCGCATTTTCAACCATGTTGAACGAGAAAAAAGTGCTGATGAACGACCATTTAAGCGATCAATAGCAGATAGAAATTTGACTGCTCCGTAAAATTTTAAATTAGTTGAATCATCGTGTGAAGGGAGGAAAGAAAGACACAAGGCACCCAGTTCTTCATTTACTTCTCCCATCCCAAAAGTAGGTGTGGCGTCGAAGTAAACACCACTTGCGTAATGGAGAGACTTAATCCAAACAGAATCATGCTCAGCATCTTTGACTAACTCTGACCTGGCAAAATCAATCAGACAACGATCTCCGGAGCAGAGTACACCGACCAGAAGATTATAGCGTGCCTCATCATTTGTATTTGCACCCAGAAGATGTGTAAGAGCCGCACAAAGACGTTGAAATATACTACAAGGGAAAATAATAGCAGTCAGTGATGAATTTAAGGAGTCGAGTTTTCAAGAGCGTAATATTCGTCCTTTACGCTATGGGAGACGAATTGTCTTCAACGATTTCCGATGACCTTGTGCTTTCTTCACCAGCAGTACTATAAAAGTAGACATGCTTTTTCATGGCTTGGAGAGAAGACGAGGCAATATCGTCACGTCGAGAGGTAACGTCCTCAGTTAGATATTTCGCCTGTCGATGCATTTCACTTTGAGCAATGAGAGTTGAGCGAATCCATCGATTCACTAATTGCATAAAACGAGCAGGGTCACTACTGAGCGTGAGAGCATCACCAAGGGATACTGGCATTCCTTTGGGTGGTGCAAAATATCCCAGTTCCGAGACAAGGGTGTAATATTCCAGTAGAGCGTTACAGCATTCCGACAAGCGCTGAAGACAGACATCTTCTTCGCCACCACTTTGGGTTTGGAAGAGGATTGAGATGAGTTCCTGGGCGTTACGCAGATAAGTCTCAGAGCTATCCGTTGACGATGGTGAAAATTCAATGAGGAAGTCAACAAGGCATTGTTGAAAAGAAAAGTCTAAAATAAATCAGTTATTCGACTAGAGATCTGCCTAAAATATTACTTAGTGGATTATTGAAATTTACCTTGTGAAATAAAATCCATAAATTGATAAATTTAATATCAAATAGAAACAATTCCATATGCACTTGCTCTCCCAAGAATTAAATTACTTTCTTAGGGTGTTTTATTAAAAATACACAGATAAATAAACGTTGCAAATAATTCAATCATTCGTAACAAATCTAATCTAAATCAAATTTCTGAACGAGGAGCACATTATCTACACTCATCCAGTAAGTGAACACATAAACCACGATTGTGCACGCAGAAATTAAACAGAGTATTTCAAATGATGACCACTTCTCGAGTTTATTCTCTAGTATGTAAAATGACCTAAAGAAGTCAGAAAGTTATAACCTATTACATGAGCATTTCGCATTGCCAAGTGATTTTGTACCCAACAGAAACCTCGAGAACAAAACTTTGGCACATATCTTAAAATCTTCCATAAACAACAAATTCATTAATGATGAGGCAACTTTCCTGCTAAAAGAACAAATGAATATACGAATAAATAGGCCGCTTTGCTTTGAATACTTCTACTATTGGAATATTGACACGGAAAATAATTACGAAAGTAATGAAGAAAACCTGTTAATTTGAGGAAATTTGAAATAATATCAATCAAATGAGAATAAAAAACTGTAAACTTCTTAAGTGATCTACCAATGATTCTATCTGTCTAGCAGGATCAAAATATGCAGACTTGCTTCCATACGATCAACAGCAAACCGATAAAAGATAAACTGAAAAAGATCCAAAAGAGGTGACAACATTAAGCCATAAAATGGCAAAATAAGATAAAGACAACGGAGGCAAATGTTAATGAGAAACTTAATACGAACCTTTAAGCGCTGTGGCGAGCGCTACATCTCCTGTTTGCCAGTGCCTAGCCAATATAATTATGGCTTCAAAGCCCACACTACAGAACTCTGCAACTCTGAGGAGGCACTGTTTCAGAGGAGGCTCCAATGGCCCCTTCGCGTATGACGCGATGAATGGCAGTAGGCCATTAGTAAGAATTGCAAACACGTCCACTGGCTTCAGTTTAGAGGACGAAGATATGTATGCACGAATAAGCATCTCTAAACGTTGCTCTGAGGTAAGTTTGTGAAACTCTATCAATTTGATCTGATTCAAATACACCACTAGTCCATCCCCAAGATCAATCTTCCGACGAAGAGTGCTGGAGAAATCATAACCCGCAGAGGCACGATAAAGAATCTAGAAAAGTCAACAGATTAGAAGACGGCGAACGTTTGTACTCACTGAAGCAAATTGGTTCACTTCATTTAAATGCCGTTCGAGTTTCCTCAAAGCCCTGCGCTTTGCACGTTGAAGCTGTCCATTTCCAACAAATGAGACACTTTTGATTATGTCAGTAGCAACTTCCAACAACTCCACAGAGTTGGTAACAATACCCGTCAAGCGATCTAACTCATAGGCACGACTGCAAGCCCAGTTGGCAAAATTAGAATAGGTTGGGGGAGAATTTACCCATGGGAAACCTGCAGGGAGGAGAGAGGTAAGGCGGTGGAAGGCAACTTGATAGCTACTCTCTATTGATTCAGTCAAAGTAGGAATTTCATCAGACATTGCAGAGGGAAATTGAGTAATCGGGCGAAGGGACATGACGGGAGATTGAGTTGCGGGGATAGTAGAGAGAAGGGAAATCAAATGAGGAGAAAGAATAGAATGGTAGTGGGAAAGGAGAATAGCAAAAGCAGTGTATCTTTTACTGTGGAGATACCATAGAGCAATAGCCAGAGGATGGTTTTGTCGATAAACTTCAATTTCGAGACACCGCGCTTTGACATCTCTAGTAAAATCATGATCATGAGTGACAAGTTTGGATGAAAGAGATGTGGCACACTCTTCAGCATAAATACGGCTTATTATATCAAGATGATAAATACGTTCCCGAAAGAGAGCTGTTGTGTTTACGTTTGTGGAACGATAAAGAACAGAATTGAGTAGGAATCTTGTAGTATGAAAGAGGTCAACAGCATCCCAAAGGGGTATATCAACACGAGGAATCTCACAAAGACACTCTCGAAGCAACCAATTACCATGCCTGGTAATTTTCTGAACGCAAAGATTGACCAAACGCTCAAATGAGGTGGGTTTAACGGGAAAATGGAACAGGGAAAGAAACTGATACTGCCACACGGTTTCCGGGCTAACTTCCATATCACTATTACAGGCAAGATCAAGTGCTTCAGAAAAACGGCAACTACGCAATCGATGAATGCAGAGTTCTAGCCGAGAGGTTGAGGCGATACGAATTATATTTGCCCTCATGAGTATAGAAGCAGTTGCAATTTCTATTTGGTCAGTAAAATCGCATCCAGTTTCCATTTTTCTCGATATACCCAACACTGTCGCAATTCTACCTATATACCCACCTTGAGAAGAAGTACCAGGGAGAACATTTTTGGCATCCTCTTTTCCAAGGTTTTCTAGTGTACATTCAAGCAGAATTAGCTCTGCTTTATTTGAATCAATTACATTTACAGCAGCAAATGATGTGAATGGTGCCAGTTGGATAGGCTTACCTTCCTGATTTTGATCGACGTTGAAGAGCTGATTCTCTAGAGTGTCAATATCGATTACAGAAAGAGAACCATCACTTTTCAGAATCGCTAAGAGAGGAACTTGAGAAACTCTCCGCCACCAACTCAAATGTAGAGGAACTGTAATTTTAGAATTGAGGAAAGGTGAAAGAGGTTTGCAAGAGAGAATCGAGCTATCAATTGTCACAGCATCTGATATGATAGTAGTAATTAGAGAGCAAGCAGGAAAAGACCAAACAGATATAGCACGTGTGCAATGCAATGCAGAAAGAAAACTCCCATCTGGAGAGAGAGAGAGGCTAACAAATCCATCAATCAAATTACTACTTTGCCTAGAAGAAATCGATCGCATTATTGATCGAAATTTCATTGGAGTACCAGATGTATTCGCACTGCCCGAGCAAAGAGATTGGCAATGTGAGTATTCGTCCAATGAGAAGTCCACAACAGAAAAGACTTTTAAACTTTCACCACCAGAACCAACAAATCCACCCCCTAGGACGAGAAGAGAACTTTTAGGGTCGTAAACAGTCGAAAAAATAGGAGATTCTCTGAGCTTCTGGAAAACTAAAAGAGCTGAATATCCAGCACATTTACGGTTAAGGTTCCATATTTCCATTACACCCGAAAACCTGCACACAAGTAGATGTGAAGAGCCCTGTACGAAATATAACCCAACAATTGGAGCAAAATCAGTTTCGATGGAGTTCTTTATAATTATTTGAGGACCGTCATCAGTGCTTAGGTATATTACTTCTATAACTCCGTTGCTATATCCGATTGCGGCAACTTCATCCAAATAGAAGTTAAGTGTACGCCATTGAGGATAGGGGTCAACGTAAGATAGGGGCCAACGTCTCCAACCGTTAAGCGATGATTTCTCAGACGAGGATGCAGACAAAGAGATCGCAATAGCAGTCAATGTTGAATCAGGTGACGCGACGTCCGGTTGGATATCTTTGAAAGAGGAAATATCATCCACTGTTGAAATAGGAGGTGATATCTCCAAAAATCTAACAGCAAGAACGGCCGCAAGGGAAGATGGCAAGAATCCAACAGTCCAAGGATATCCAGCACTCTTATATTGACTATAGGCGAGAAGGACTGGTGACGAAGCGCACAAAATATTAGACAAGTAGCTTTTCAGATTTTTACCAATTCTAAAAATAGAAGACTCGCTTGCATCGCTCTTTGTAAATTCGTGAAGTGACAGTTTCGACGCCAATGCAATAGGATCGTAAAAAATAACCGATTCCAAGAGTTCCGCTTTGAGTGATACAAGATCTTCTCTAATGTAGAGATTAGAAGACATGGATTTCAATTGATTTTGGAGAAACTATTCTATTATGCTACGATTCCTTGGTGACTGGTTAGAAAGATAAAAAAAATATTGTCAAAATAAAGTCTTTTGTAAAGCTGATATCTACGAAACTCAGAAAGATTACTCGAGATTTCATTAATATGTAAAGACCACGACACCTATTATCACATAGGCTCTGGGCCAATATTTCGAAAATTACGCCTTACAACCGACTTAATTATTCTATATTAATACATAGTATTTCACAATTTTTTCGAAGATACGAGGATTGAGCTACTTAAAATTCAAATAAAAGATCTAATATCGGCTTATCATCCTTCATAACTCATTAATTGACAAGGAAAAGTTTATTTTACTCTATTAGCATTAAAACTGGAATGAGCACCTTTATTTGAGATCCTCTTAACGGTTGGATTCGATATAATATTGCTAACTCTTTCTTGTATTTGTTGAAAATATGACCTAAAGTGGTCTTCGTTTATCAATCGCCTACGGAACTTTCCATATTCCCCTTAAATATTTATTCAGTATTTCAACGTAATAGTCATGAAACATAAATTTTATTGTCTAGAACAAAGTAAAATTAAGAAGTAACTTTTTACAAATTGGTTCTATAAATTAACTTGTGCAAAAGACTTATGAGGTAATGAGCGTTTACAGAAACGTTCCTCTATACCCTCTTTACCATTATTTGTCTTACTAATACCTAATTTCAATTGCGAATTTAATCTACATATGTTTAAATTGTGTTTATTTATTTTAATATCAAAATTTCCGTTGTATAAGTCAATACCAAAATATTAAAAAAGATTATAGTTATCTAAATAGTCAATAAGCTGGTGCATATACTGAAAATATTGCCTGCCAGTAGTAAAACTTAAGTGACTTGTAGAATGGCTTTTTGTAACATTTTGACCTAGGCTTAGGTTGACCAATGTGCAAGGATATTACTATTTTTTGACCTACAGACCACCAGTTGCGCGTAACAGATAACTCCATGCAGACCTTCGTACATTAACTTAGATGAGATTTCCGCTTTTTCAATTTCTAGTTCCTCACTATTCGCTATTCCTCCTTAATTATTTTGCGATTTAATTATTTACCTACGACCAGACTTAAATTAGGGTATTAGGCATAGAAACGTTTTGGGATATCCTGTTTTCCTTTAGGTTAATTTATGGGTTTGCTTGGAGATAACTCCATGTCTAAATAGCGCGATCCTACGACATTTCCATCGACGGGATCAAGTGCTACTTTTGTTTGGAATTTGAATTTCTCCAGGTTACCATGTCCGGTTTGTTTACTTGTGCTGTGGTCGCTAGCCTCATACACGCATCTTACCACTTCACCACATATTAAAGACGTGTCAAAATGGATATATACTAGTCATTATTTATTCCATGTTTATTTGTGCCAATTAAAATTGCTTGGTAAATAATAAAGCGTTAGATTTTAGCGTCAATACCATTGACTAACTTTGTCCTTCAGATCACCTAAGCTGTCTATTGTGGGATACGTCATCGCATGCCTGCACGCCAGGATTGTTTGTTTAACCTAATCCGCCATCCTGAACATGATTAAGCTTCCTGCGTGTACACTTTATCCGCAGTATACTCACTGAATAAACGTGTTCCGTGCTACACGTATGTTTCCTTAATAGCTGGGCTATAGCTTAGCTGGTTCTGGGAGTCTAGCTAGATGTAGGAGGATCTGCCATAGAGATTTCTGAGTCAGTCAGGCTTTACTAAGGTAGCAATCCGCTACACTATTATTATTATGTTTTGTAGACACTGAGTACAGATGCAGTATTTTGAAAGCAACTACACAGCTACCTCAATAATTTCCTTTTAGCATATCAATATAAATAGACTAGAAACAAACGTACACGCATTTCCCCTAGATAATGAAGAGGAACCTGGTCAATCAGACATAAATTATGCCATCAACTGGGGTTGGGGTTAATAATGACGAGTAAAGCCGAACGTTGACGGCCGAGACAAAATTCAGGAGAGTTAGTGCATTGGTCCGGCAACTTAAATAATAACTTCTCAAATAACCTATCTGCTTTTTATTAACAAATACGACATTACCGAAACTGCATTCGTAAGTATAAGTACAGATTTACCAATGGATTGTAGCGGACTGCTATACTCGTAAGGTCTTGACCGACTCAGAAATCTCTATGGCAGTATCTCCCATATATTGTCTGACCCCCTGAACTAGCTAAGCCACAACGGAGCTAGGGAGGAAAGACACGTATTACACAGAACACGTTTATTGCAAATCATGATATCGGCAAATGCGATTGGTTATCAAATAAACCTGACATGATTTGAGTAAACATTAAAAGCTAAATATCTGAGCAGCGCCCTACGCGTACGCCATACACTCTAAATCCTGGATTGCAGGATAAACCAGCAAAAGGTGGGAAAAATAGGTGAAGTCCAAATAAAATGAAATCAAGAGCGTGCATGGGCAAACAAAAATATATTCCGCTCCAATAACTAGCCACTCAATAAATGAACAGACAACTTTTAATGAGGCGATTACATTTATTACAAAATAAGGAAACGACGATATTAAGAGCTCGGGTTATTTATAAAGCGGTGGGCAATGGGAACTTTTGCGCAAATTCAACAACCTCTTTTCTCCGTTTTAGGATTTCAGCCTGAGCTTCCGCGTCATTGAGTAATGCAGACTATAAGTAAAACGAAAAAAAAAACCAAGACCAAAAAATATGATAAGCAAAGTGAGAAATCCTACCTTAAAATCCTTTATTGCACGCGTTTTCACTCCAGAAGCGACCTTAAGTGCAATTTTTATACCTGCGTGAATGAGCTCAGCCACGACGTCCATGTCTTCCAGCCCGAAGCCTCGTGTAGTCACCGCGGGTGTTCCAATACGAATTCCACTTGGGCTAAAAGACAATCAATAAATACATTAAATCCAAACCCAAGACAAAACATTTAGGTATGTCAGCATCCACTTCAAAATACCGGAGAGCACTAACATCACCGGGCACGGTATTCTTATTAGTTATAATGCCCATGGCTTCAAGTACTGTGGAGACACGAGCACCATCAAGCTTCAATGGACGAAAGTCCATAAGAAACAAGTGAGTATCCGTGCCACCAGTGGTTATCTAAAATAAAAAATGGAGCAAATAAGCAACGACAAAAGGTTGATTGTCATACACTCCTATTGAACAACTCACCGTATAGCCGAATTCTTGCAGTTTACAGGCAAGGCGCTTACTATTCATGACAACCCTGTGAATATAGTCCGAAAATGTAGGCTGAAGGGCCTCATGGAGACCAACAGCAATCGCAGCAATGTTATTGTTGTGGGGACCCCCTTGAAGACCTGGGAAGACAGCATCGTCTATGCGTTGTTTAAAGTCAGTTGGCAAATAAACTGTATAATCCCCTTCCTTAAAATCAATGAAAAAGCCGCAATATTTAATTTTCGAAGCATAACCATTTTCTCATATGAAATGCAATAAATGTTTGCTGTAAACAATAAAAAACCACTCGCCTAAAGATGTTTTGAATTGCTTCAAATATCAAAAGATGGGAATTTACATCCCCGAGCCCATACCTAATCTAAATACATTATTCAATAGAGTACATTCTATACAAGTTTCCAATTGATTGAACCTAATAACGTGATAAAAATATATTAGTATGAATATATATGATTGTTATCGAAAAGTAAATGAAAATGGGCGAATATAAGACAGTCACTCCTAGTTAGTGAAAGAAACAAAAGCCGATGGACAATAGAGAAGTTGAATGCACTAATTGAGAACTCGAAAAGGGACGCTAGGACTGGAAATGAACAATGTATTCAAGGGACTTTCAGAAGAGGTGGCATAGACTAGAATGAAATATGGGCAGAGTGGCGTTAAATAAAGTTATCAATGCAAAAGTTGAACAAAATGACTAATTCTAATTCACGAATGCACGAATACCCTTCAAATAAAACTATCACGTAAAAATCAAACATTTCACTTAATAGCATACACACGATAAAACTTTCGGAGCTTCCTGCTTTATTTCACCCATCAGTACCACAAAGTTCACTTTACTATTGAAAATATTTACAAAGAAAACATTTAGGAAATTTAATTAATTTTGTTTCCTCTTGGAGAAAAGAAACGGACAAAGTTAAACGAGGTGAACGTTGTACCAGACTTTCATAATAGTAAATAAAATCCTGTGGGCTTATAGAGAAGAGAATACGCTGAAATAAACCCAAAGTGAGACAGACTTATGAGGCTATTAAGATTAAAGTAACTTAATTTGCAAAAAACATGGTAATTTACGAAATTGGACAAATGCAAGACCAACTCACTCCGTTGGTAGTACATGAGCCGATGTTGGTGTTATCTTTGGCTCCTATTGTTTTGGGTGGATTCGCGGGTTTACGAAGACGATAATAGATCATGGCACCCCTCGCTGCACGCATAGTTTTGTGGGTTGTCGTGGTGACCACATCAGCATAATCAAATGGCGATGGATGAATGCCGCTGCTTATGAGACCACTGATATGAGCCTAAAAGCAGAAAAGGTTAAAATTTACTCAAGTTGCCTGTAAAGGTAGAAATTGGACTTACGATGGACGAAAATAAATGTCATAGAAAAAAATGTTAATAAACCACGCATACTTTGCTAGTAGTGCAAAATTAAACGATTAAAACTGAAAAAATCTAATTATCACCACTTACCATCTTTTAATGAAACAAACCTATTTAACAATTAGAAATTAAAAAATGAGATGTGGCAATGTAGTAAACAAGCATCCAAAAAAAATTGAAAAAAGGTAACTCATAACATGGATATATGTAATAGGAAACATTTTTAAAATACTTACTATATCTACCATCATTAGAGCCCCAACAGAATCAGCAATTTTTTTAAAAAGCCCATAATCGAGTATGCGAGGATAGGCACTGGCACCAACAACTAAGAGACGAGGACGAAACAACTTAACAGTAACCTCGAGAGTTTTGAAATCAATAAGACCAGTCTCGCTGTCGATACAATACGGCAATGATTCGAAGAAGAGTGAAGAAGCCGAAATCTACAACAGCAACTAAATTGATTTAATAAAAATCACCTTTTTTCCCATTGAAGTAAAGAAGCCATGAGTAAGATGGCCGCCATCAGGCAAATTTAGACCCATGATGCGCCCATGAGGTCCAACCAAACCCATATACACAGCCAAATTGGCAGGAGAACCACTATAAGGTTGAACATTTACACCCCAGTCGGAAGGTGATAATCCGAAGAGCTTGAGAGCACGCTCCTTGCAAATGGTTTCCATCGCATCAACAACTTCAACACCGCCATAGTATCTGTATAAACAGATAATTTTATTGATAAACAATTACCTTGCTCCAACAACACCTTCAGAATATTTGTTATGAAATGTGGAAGAAAGTGCGGACAAAACAGCTTTACTAGCATAGTTTTCCGAAGCGATAAGGTCGATACAGTCTCGCTGTCTGGATTCCTCATCTTTACAAAGTTTATAGATTTCCGGATCGACGCACTGGAGAGAAGGAAAAGTAGAGCTCATTTCGTGAAATTCATAAACATAATGCGCGGAGACCCACCGGAGAATATCTCGGTGCCTTATAACACGAATGGAGTATAATGAATCAAATTTCACAAATTGAAATATAAAAATATACTTATATTATTACTTTTCTTATTTTTCGCAAATTAATTACCTGTAAAAAACTAATTACTAATTACGAGTTTCAGAGTTGGAAATATTATAAATATAGCATATATCTTAATAGGGATATGTGATAGACTTACCTCAACGTGGTGCACTCTGGGTACTCAAATGGCAAAAAGATCTTTCGACACGTTGAGTGCGATAGGACCCAACGTTGGGTCGTTTATAATAACAATACGGCACATTTAAAACAGCACCGAAAGTTGGTATTTTTTGCCAATTTAAGCACAGTCGTTGTTGATGATCAAATATAAAGGTTTGAAATGAGCAACCCTTTTATTTGAAAACCAGAGGCATTGACGCTGTAGTAACGCGAATATAATCGCACCAGGGGCGAAGTCGGCGGTTTCGGCCATCACATTCAACGTGACAACCGGCAATTGACTTCTGACTCAAACTACCATGACCACTCAAACTACATTCGACCACTTTCACAGTACCCATCTTACCTTTTCTCTGCCTTTATGTCTGTCTGTCTGTCTCTTTTACATCTGTGAATCACTCTTCTATTCCCCCTCCCGACTTTTTTGTCACTTTCATGTTCCTCCTCCTCCGTGTAAAGCCTGAAATCATCTAAAGGGCTAAGGATAACTATCAAAACGCCTGCCATTTGAAATAAATAAATTTTAAAATTAGACTAAATTGAAGTTTTTCAAAATAAAAGATATTAAAATATCTGAAAAGTATAAGTTTTACTTTAAAATTATTCTTATCATTTATTGTTTTATGTGTTGTTGTTGATTTTGCAATACATTTCAGTTATGACTGGTTGTTCCTTTGGACTACAATATATATGTGGGTATATGAGTGTGAACTTGCTTTTAATTTGATTGTAGTTATTTCGTTGAAAGCTATTTATCAAGTCATTGATTATTGATGTTTCGAAAAATGAGTCAAATTAGAAGTAACATTTCGGCGGTAACATTTTGGTGATTGGTTTATCAGTTCAGGTATAATTTAGATAGCCATAAGATTTTTGATTACTTTCACGAAAATTAAATGATTATATTATTAATATTTGTAGTTGCGGTATTTCTATTTACACATTACTTCAATGAAATTCTAAAATTAAATAACCATTGTGACTTACAAATGCATAAATTTTAGGTTATTTTAAAGCATTTGTGCGGTATGGTGAAATGTTTAATTAAATAAAATACTTTGAAGACTAGCTCAAAGTAAAAAATCTGTCATTAAATTAAGTAAAAATAAGATCCGACCATTTGCTGAGTGCTTAGCATGAATTTAGCGAAAAACCGCACTTTTCTTCAAAGAACCTTTCGAATTGATTCGACCAGAAACGGTTAGTAGGATACTATTCCGTGGACATAGAATAAATAGCTAATCCTTCCTTAATGTGAAAAACATCTGAAATAAGTTTGCAAAGACAACTGAGCCGTACCTTGCCTTACGTGAAAGCTCGAATAAATACAAGTAAATAATCAATTCTTAATTCCATCTTCATTGTCCGCTAAACTATTATTTTTTGTTTTAACATGAAGACAATATATGACTGTTTTCGCTTTAGATTTCATTTCGATCTCTCCTACAAAAAAATGAATAAAACCAATTCTTGGAATTTTTATCATTAGCAGCTAATAGAAAATAAAGTCCTGATGACTTAAGAATAAAGTGTAAATAGTAGGCGAACGAAATCATAACCATCAAACACGTGGCTGAATTCGTGCTGGGTCACTTTCTAAGTATAGCCAAATTTTGCTCTTACTCCTTTATCAACTTTAGTACTAACTTTGCCTCTGAACCATAGAAATTGCAATCCTTACAGGTCTACTAGGGTCCTATTGATATTGCTCATATTCATATTGAAGTGAATGATTTGTGCCTTCTAATAACCAAGGGCAGATACTTGATACCAATTAAACCATTTTCACAATGATGATCGCTGCATTAGCGAAGAAATTCGATACCGGTTTAGAAAACAACCGAGAAATTATGAAAGAGACAAATATGCGCGCGATTGAATTAACCCTGTTGGCGGACAAAGTAAGAAAGCTCACATTAACAAACTTTGATTTAATTAAAAAGAGAAGAGGGAAAATTAAGAGTTTACAACTAAATGACGAAGGTAAAAGGGTTGTGGGGAAACATTTAATTACGATTGATAAACGCTAGTGCAATCAGAGATGAACAATTAAAAAAAATAGTAGGAATTTAACAGTTAGAATTAACGGCAGTACACCCGCCGTGTGATTGAAATCGATTTTTATCTATTTAGAGTACATCTTCTTAATGACATCCTCAAATTTGACTTTGATATTGAAACGTTTGATTTTCAAGGCGTCAGTTACGAGACCGGATTCCGGTGTCCATGGCTCAGGGTCCAAATAGACCTTCTTGGGAATTTCGAAAGTTGCCAATCGTTTTGCGGCTCCGACCTGTTGAATATCCTTCGTCACTCTTTCAATAACCTAAGACAAAGCCAAACAACAAAATCCGTAAGGAGAGCGAGTTTTTAGGGTTAAAATAACGAGTCTAACCATGCTGTCAGCTTATCCGATCTATTAGTTCACTTCTGTGCAAAAGACCACGTAAACAAAACAAGACTGTTAGACATAAACACAAATGGAGATCGAATGCGACGTAAATGTTTGAACGGACATTACGCTAATATTAAGTGATTGTTGAAACAACTCAAACACAGAAATAGGTTGGAGCAAATGTCTTATGCTGCTCAGATGGTAATCCATAGGGGTGAAGTAGAATTGCAAAGAGAGAATGCAAATTTAACATCTGAAGACTACATTAATGAAAGAATTATGTAGTACTATGTTAATAGAAAAGGGATGTGTGATAGACTTAACTTCACGTAGTGCATCCTGGGCAAAGTATACTCATACGGCAAAAA